TATCACCTACTGAGATATGTCAAGCCTGGAGAATATCAAAACCATGCTTTCTAAGTCTAAAATTGTTAGTGTTTGAACTAGTAAAAGTAAATGATCACAGGATATGGCTTACACATAATAGACCATACACATTAAATTAATTTCTAACATTCAGATTTTAAAATAGTTGTTTTATATTTAAGCAAAGCTGACTATAATTTTTAAAATAGAAGACTGAGAGCASAATTAGTAGGTTAATGTTTGACAATGGGTTATAATCATAGACTTACTTGGTATAACACAAAAGGAGTTTTGCATATGAACATTTCCAAAACAACAGCAAAATTCAGGTTTTATCAAAATGAACAATTAGATATTTTTGGCTTAATTTATACAGCACCATTTCAGGGAATTTTTACTCTCAAAATGAATTTGTTTTTAAAGTCTAGGCATTTTTTTTAAAAATGTCTGTGTGTTATAAGAAAAAAAAAATCCTAACTGCAGGCTTTATACATTTAAAATCACATATATGGTTGTAAGGAAGAATTATATCATTTATAGCAATGCCATTGAATAAGTTCTTCATATTTCCATACAGATTAAGCTATATTTATGTTGTTTCCAATAAAAGACAACTTTAAAAAAATAAAATTTATTTGACAAAAACAAGTTCCTAATGTCCAACGGTAATACCTTCAAGAGATATGTCCTTGACATGAGTTTTTCCCCTTAGATATATTAACCCACAAAATCATAAGAAGCTTTTTCCATTTATAAAGAAAAAAATATAATTGAATATTTTCATTATTTTATAATAAAAGTAGCTCTAAAAACCCAGTCATCCAAATTTGAAAAAGAATACAACTTTAAGGAAAAAATGTGTTTGCTAGTGCCATTTCGATCTGCTTTGCAATTAAGTACAGAAAAAAATGTGTGTGTGTGTGTGTGTGTGTGTGTGTGTGTGTGTATATATATATATATATATATATATATATATATCTTCTTACAATTAAAAAGAAAGCTATATCTGTGGAAATGATGACTCTATAATGCTACATTGTTAGCATATTCCTGTATTCAATATTGGGTCCATATATGAAATTTATCTACAGCCAGGTCTCACACAAAAAAAAGCTCGGCAATTGAGCAATATTGTGTTGAAACTCCCCCTAATCAAATCAAATGGAGGAGATATTTTTTCAAAAAATCTTTCCTTCAAGGACAAGTATCATGAATATAAAATGCCTATGTATTGTATTTTGTATGATTTGATTTTTACTATTTTAAAGTATGCAAAACTCTTTTGTGTATTTTGCTGTTAGACTTTTGCTTAGGAAACGTGAACCTTCACCCAATCACAAACCATATACATTGCTCCATGTGTCTTTTACACTGAGTCTCCTACTGAGTCCAAATCATCCGATGAGAGGGGGCGATACAGGTCCTGTAAGATGAAGGGCGGTACAGATTCGTTTACTTGGCTTTCGTGGRTGCCCCGTTGCTCTCCTAGGAGCAACCCTGAATGGGCATCCTTGGTTTCTAATATAATTAGACCTTCTAAAGTCAGCGGCTTTGCAGAAGAGGARAGATAACAACAGAGAAACCATCTACATAGACAAAATGATGCAGATGTCACCTTATCAGCCAGAAAAAAAAAGTTGCCTGATCTATTTGTACTCTTTTGCTTGCCACATCCAGTTGAGCTCTGGCCCCAGAGGTCTTCAAGACCAACTTTGCCACTCTGTGTCTAGGCAATTCTTCCATGAACAATTCTTCCTTCCCATTCTGGGTATAAAAGGAATGTGCTTACCTCACAAAATCATTTAGCAGGAGCCCCTGAAGGCATTCAGCATATTCTTGTCCCAGAGTAGCAACTCAGGTGTTGCATTTACACAGAGTATAAACCCAACAAACACTGCCTTCTCAAAATTTTATGTTTGGATGATAGGAAGAATGCATAATTACCCCCACCCTTTCCCAAGGCTCCTTCCCTGGCCCCCAACCACTTGCTTGTCACCACCCTGCTTCTTTCCTCCTGCCCTTTTCTGCTATTAGATCTCTGTTGGTAGCCAAGCAACCAGCTCAGATCTGCAGAGAGAGTCTACATTGGGCCCCCCCCCATTTTGTACCACCCACTCCTCACATCATCTGACTGATCAGATAATCTACTAAAGTCAGTGATGTAGGAGTATAAAGGGGAGCTTCATTCAACCKACACAACATAACGTATTTTTGCCCTGATGTTTTAAGAAATGGGACCAAGAAAAGTTCATGGATGGGAAAAGAGCCTCCAGGAGCCCATTCTGTGACTATTCAGAAACTTCTAGACAGAAATTCAAATAACGGTGTTAGAAAAATTGGGGGAGGGGAGCTACTTTGGGCCACAAATATRTTTATGCAGACTCTTCATTTTTAAAGACTACTAAAAAACATTAGAAGAAGTAACATATAAACATGATTTTAAGAAAAAAACAGCTGATTAAATTGCAATACAAATAAAATATAGATTTTATTATTTGTAAAGAAGGCAGTCAAATTTCTCAATATTCCTTAAAAAACCATTTTTACATTCCTCTACTTTAAAAGGGGTAAGAAGCGTATATATGTGTGTGTGTGCATGTGTGTATTGAGATGGGGGAAGCCAACTCATTTTCCTGGTTATGTTGCTAGGCAACACAGAAGGAAAAAATAGAAGTAGCTACTGTTTTCTAATTTGCAATAAAAAAGTTAATTTATTCTTTGAAGTCTCTTCTTTTAGCACACACCATCTTTCACTTATTTCGGTATTTCCTGCATAGGAGTATAGCCAACCATTTGAGAAGGATATTAGCAAAATTTGAAACAGGATCAGTTTTTAGGGATATTCTCGGCCCATTTTAACTGGGAGGGGTTACTTGATGCAGTTGTCTACACACCAAGATGAAAGCCCTCTCACTAAGGCAGCTGGGAACATCTCCATGCACTGACATGGAACATAGATGGAGGATGTTCATAAATTCAAAGGCTCGAAAATCATCTTTGAATGGATACAGCTAGATTCATAAGCTTGGAAACCATACCATCTTTGAATATATCCAGTGTCCTGCTCACAACATGTGCTTAATAAATGTTTTCAGATGGTGATAAGCACCCCCCACCCCCACTCCCCAAAAAACCTCAAATGGGATCTCTTTCTCCTCTCTCTCAAGGWTGATGCTTGTCTTGGTAGTTTAAATGGAAAAATGAAGGATCTGTCAGAGAACCACAMCTTATAATCATTTCCCAAGTGCTAAAAATGTTCATTATATAAGCCAATGACTACACAGCCAGATGGAAATTTTCTGCCTCAGTTGGACAAATCCAAGTGAAGCGGAGACTACAGAGGGCAAAGATGCATGTTTTAACTTCATTCTGCCAACAAAGGACATCTGAGCAAAGCTTTCCATCCCAATATGGAGGGGTCTTCACTATCAACAAACAGTTTGCATCTGTAGCAGGGATTCTCAATCACTCTTAATTTGATATCAACCTCAACAACTAAACGTGAGCTTCATCAATAAATCTGGAATCTGAATTTAATTGGATCAAAGAATAAAGGGGGGATTTCTGTGCTAGGTGTACTCTCCAAAGCCTCCATTTAGTTAGAGACAGGGTGGGAAACTTTTCTGAAAGAGGATCCTTATTGTGCTGTATCTAATACAATCCCTATAAGATTAGAGCCTTACTGGGTGACATTTACATGGAAAGAATGGCCACCCAGGCTCTTTCTTCACTCATGGGTAGGGCTTTAGGAGATTATACAAAATTGGCCAATTCTTCTTTGAATATTTGTTAATGATTCTGGACTTTATAATGCCCATATAGAGACTGCATCCAACAATCTAAACAAGTTCAGCCTGATGCCAGGTGAATCAGTAGAGAAAGATAATAAAGCCTGACACCTGGTGCTACAGGCTCCAGTGGGACTAGGAACTGACCAAGTCCCCCTCCTCCCCTCTGTTGAGATGGCCAATAGTTCTGTCAGCCTAAAGACCCAATCTGGGCAGGAGACTTGAAGAGAGGGGCTTCCATTTTGGGTGAAGCTTAAATTTATGGAATCAAGAAGTGTCACTTTAAAAAAACATAACAAAAGAAACCAAATTCAAGAATCCAGTATTTGAGTGCAATAGCCGTGAGGAATCTAGCTTATTAAAACATTCGCTGACCATCATCATAATAAACTCTCCTAAGGGCACGCCCTCCCCTGACCTTAATTTTGAAATCAAAACCGTGAGAGGCTTCTATCCTTCCTTGAACCTTCCCCAATCCCCCTCTCCAATTCTCTTATTCTTGTCTTGGGGTTACTGAAAAAAGGTCAAATAGGACAGGCTGTGAGGGGACAGAACAGTAGTTCTTCCATCCAGAATGGAGAGCTAATTCTTACTCTGTTCCTTAACATGCAGAAACTAACACTGTTTTGCAACTTTTTCACTTTGTTCTCCAAGCTCAGCCAATTTCTCTCTTATTACACAAGAGGCTCAAAATAAATACAAGTAGAGATGAGAGAGCATGAGCTCAATACGGGTTTCATTCACAAAACCATTTAGCCTATGTACCCACCCCCTATCCCAGGAGCTCCTGGCTGCTCTGGAACACCACTCTAAGCCACACAGCAACTCCCCTACATCCCCAAACAGCACTCTTCCTTTTCCTGAAGGGGCTGGTAATCAGTGATGCTATCTAATAAAATTCATTACCATTAAGGAAGCTTAAAAACGAGTGCTTATAAAGTCTGTGCATTTAAAACAAAAAAAGAAAAAAAAAAGAGGAAGGTATTTAAAAGTGAAGCAGCCAATGTACATTCTCTTTAGAGTTAAGATCTGGACCAAGATGATGGAGAAATTAAAAGCCCAGAGTTCTCACTACACCATAGCAATGGTAAGTGACCCAGTATTGTCACCCCCTGCCCTGGCGTGGTTATTCCCTAGAGACAAGCAGCACTATTTGTTTCTTGCATCAAGGCTCAGACAGAACTTAAACAGGTAGCTTGCTTGTTTCCTTACCCTCTGCTTCCGCAGGCTTCCTGGACTGGTAGGTGATGGGCTTGGCGACTTGCCCGAGCGAGGAGTAGAGAGCTGACTACCAGGGGTTCCATTAACTAGAAATACAAAGAATCACACAGAGAGAAAAATGGCATGTTAAATAATTTTCATGACAATTCATCTTTTCAGAGAAACAAACAGAGAGGGACATCTGCTAAAATTTAGATATTCATTTATCTGTATCATGGAGAAAAGCCTTAGAGGGATAACTGTCTTCAGAAACTCACTATTTTGTGAATCCTGTGTTTAATAGAGCTGCAGGTTACATAATAATTTTTAAAATGTACTTTTTACAACTTCTGATGAAAGTATTAATAATAGCTTTATCTGTGCCAACAGAGAATTTAAAAGTGTGGTTAAGACATTTTCGGTGAGATTCCTCCTTTTCTTTAGATGCCCCATGCTAACCCAGTAGGAGCAAATGTTAGCACAAGCTCACAAGGTACATCCTCAGATCACTGTGGGKTTTTTTTGTTTGTTTGTTTGTTTTTAAATAATTACTTACTTAATCACTTCTGGAAGTTCCTGAGTCCATGTGTTCCCTATTCATCCACCAGCCTGATTCTGGTGGCCTTGCTTTAAACAGTACAAAGTAATTGGCCACAGACACTGAAGAACTCCTCACAGTTTGTCTGTGCTGCCATTGAAAATTAAAGCTGTTCTCTAGCAGGTTCAAATCACTGGAATTCTGCCTGATTCTCAACTTTTGAGAAYTGGAATACACTATTGTCATTAAACTGAGATAAACCCACAGAACTCAAATAAGCAATTCTTTTCTCTAAGCAGCATTGCCTTTAAGAACAGATAAAACACCTAGAGACAGATATATATTTTTTTTTATCAAGACACATAAAGTTGCCTCTATTTTACTTGTAAAAATGACATTACAGTCCACACTGAGTAAGGTAGAACCAGGCAGGAGACACATACACTCTGGAGGTGTACAACAGACACTTTCCAGGAGGGAGAGCGACAGTGCATTCCACTTACCTTCAATGAGTTCTAACATGGACACAGTGTTTGACCTGACAATGGCAAGAGGCAAGATCTCCTCTCAGCACTAAGCCGAGCACCAGCGGAAGTAGGGACGCGGCTGGATTAGTTAAGGATGGCTAAGGCTGCGCCCCGAGCAGCTGAATGAGATGCAGGATTCATCAGCAGATGCCTTTTCTGCGTAAGGCTGACGTCTTCCCAGCAGCAGTGGGAGGTGCGGGTTCTGTCTTAGTCTACATCAAAGGTGTCAATTAAGCCTCATGCCAACGCGGAGCCACTGCTACCCCCACCGACACACTCACTCCCGGAAGCCCCAGCCTTCCCAGTCCTTTGCACTGAATCATAATAAAGTGCTCTGGGGGCAAGAGCCCCAGTGACTCATCTGAGAATCAAAATGACAAGAACTCTTTTACAGCCTGGCAACTACTAGGTAATAAGGACACCCTCACAAAATTCAMTGGCAAGGTACGGTGTTTATTGATTTTTCCTAAACCATGTTTTCACAAAAACTTAACGGCCCATGAAAGCAGGAAGCTCCTTGTTTTCATCTCCTCCCAAGACCTTAAAAAAAGTCACACARGGTATGTTCTGTGCATGTCTAATTATTCTGCACCAATAAAAAGAATGTCAAGAACCTCATGCAGCACTAATTTGCAGTTTTGTCTTTGAAATGCATTTGGTGACTCCTTCTTAAAAAACAAAACCTGTAGTTTTTTTTTTCTTTTTTTTTTTCAGAGTGAAATGGGAAACTGAGAATGCTTTAATTTACTTGTATACTACAGAATTTTCTTTGCTGAATGAACTTCATGCTTGAGACTCAACACATTGGACTTCCCAGCCAGTGGGCTCAGTAAGGAGGACAAGGACAACAGAATGGTCCAGAGGCAAAAATCTACTACCAGCATGGGAAGAGATACACTGCTGATTGGCCAGGAATGTGCTGTATACATGTAATATATTCTATGCCCACTTCTCGACCACTTTATATCTTTATGCAATACCTAAAGAATACTCAGACTGGACTGGAAAATGAACAAATAGGAAGTGAACCCTGTATTAACACTTTTCACTCTGGGGTCTCTAATCTCACCAAGTTGATGGGAAATGAAGAAAAAGAGGAAAACAGTCCTAGGCATAAACTTCTCACTTTAAGAATGCAAAGCAAGCTGAAGGTGATGGTCCAGGCGCTTAATCAAAGCGTCTTGAGAGGCTGAGACAGGAGAATTCCAAATTCAAAGCCAGCCTCAGCACTTAAATCTCTTTATAAATGCACACACATTTTTGCATTTAAGGGTATACATACTATCTCAATTAAAGTTCACAGACTCTGAGGTTGACATAATTATTTCTCTCCATTTCACTGATGAGAAAATTGAGTCATAAAAATGATGAGCAATTTGACAAACAAATGGGGGATAGAGGCCAAAATCTGACCTAGGTAATCCAAAACTACACCTTCACTAGCTGCACCAGCCTTCTACCCCAGGGGAAAATCAGAGAACTAAACTATTCATTACAATGCAGCATTTTGAAGTGGGGAAGTCCTGGGTGTTGCTATTGGAATTCTAACAGGTTCAAATCTGGAAGGTCTACAACCAAGGGAGTCAAGGTTGACCTTGGAGAGGGCAGTGGGTAAGGGAGTTAGCCAGGTGATTTTGCAGAGGGCACAATGAGGGAAATGCATCTCAAGCCCGGCAGACAAGTGTTATTCGTGGAAGTGACCTGAATAAATTAGCCACAACAGGTAGGTGAAGTTGGACAGAGAAAAGTGTTATGAATGAGGACGGAGGAAGAGACAGGGGCTGCAGGAAGTGCAAAGCATTAAAATTCAGGTGAAGGAGTTTGGTTTTTATCCAAAGGGCAAAGAGAAGTTATTGAATGATTTTAAGTAGGAGCAGAGGGATCAGGTTTGCATTTTAAAGAGCTCTCAGGAGCTCTTGGCCTGCCAAGAATGGCATAGCGGGGAACAATACTGGGCACAGGCTAGTCCTTATGAGAATGTCAAGGTGGGAGAAAGTAGGACACATTAAGGTTCTGTGGCCAGAGATGGTGGTGAGATTTGACTCAGGGTAGGCAATGGGGGTGGAAGTAAATGGAAATGTTGCAGAGATATTTAAGAGGTTAAAAACTACAGAACTACAGTATTTGCTAATGGATTGGTTGAAGATTAAAGGGAACAAGTTCCAAAGGATAAGAGAGAGTTGGGACACACTGAACTGAAGGTCCTCATGTGATCTCAAGTCTGCCACACTGGTCTGTGTTGCTTTTCCTGTTTTAGAGGAAGAAACTGACTTTCAAAGAAGTAACTTGCTCAAAGACAAGCCACTGAAAGGCAGCAGAGCTAGAGCTGAGCCTTACTTACGTCTCAATCAAAAGACTTAGCACTTGTCCCAGGAGCAACAGGTCTGGTCCTGGCACCTCAGGCATACAGAACTTCTACCCCACCTGCAGAGTGGGCACCTCAAGCCCTCTCCCTCACTGGGGCCCTTGGACCCACCTCCTTGCTTTAAAGACACTGGGTCCAGTGCTTTCTCTTCTATTACCATCAGTCTGGAAAAATGAAACCCAAATGCCAAACACATCATTTACGTTTTACAACATGAYCTGCCTGAAAGTTGGGGACGGTCTGTGCTCTTAATGCCGGAGGTCTTTTCAGACTCTTTCTAAGCCCAAAAGCATTAGCCACCTCTTAAAATGGCTCTTGACACCCAGAAGGTATTACACTCCTTCTTRTTGAATCTTTGCTAGAATACTTTTATAAGTAATTTCGACACCTGTATTGAGTTTACTTGCTTTTTATTCTGTGACACCACAAGTCCCTGYGTGCCAGTGAGAAGGGCTTTGTTACTTATTTGTTTGTACTTATTAAAATTCAACTGGCATTATTTTCCAGAGGCCCTTATTAAAAAATTCTTTACCTTGAATGGGGAAAATTTTCAGCTTCATGTGGTTGTTCTTAAATAGCCAAGTCTAAGAATGAATTATTTCAATCTGAATTCACTGAATTTGGAATTAATAAAGAATTCACCACTGCCTTATGCCCAGTTATGGTTTCCTTCATTCAGATCGGTCTGGGTACATTTTCCTTCAATCCTGAATTCCCTTGCTTTGCTTGTTACCTCTTGAATGAAAAGTGCTAAACTTTAGGATGGATTATTAGCAGATACCATGATGGTCACTTACATAACTGGGCCCCAAAGGGCTGTGGAAGAAATCTGAGCACAGGACTCTTACCAGCCCTCATCCATGACACTTTCTTTCAACTCAGCTGTCACCTCTGCCTATCAGGGAGCCAACAGTACACAGTAGTCTCTCCTTGTCTGTGTTTTTACTGTCCACAGTTTCARTAACCTGAGGTTAACTGATATCTGAAAATATTAGTAAGTAGAAAACTCCAGAAATAAACCAGTCATAGTTTTAAATCTCTCTCATTACAGTGCATTGTTATAACTGTTGAATTTATCATTAGTTACTGTTGTTACATCTCTTACTAACTCATAAACTAAACTCTATCAAAGGTAGGTATGTATAGGAAAAATGTAGTATATATAGGGTTTGGTATTCTCTTAGGTGTCAGGAATCCATGGAATATCTTGGAATGTATCCCGGTTGATGAGGAGGGATGACTGTGAACTGGTGATAGCACATTGTTAAATAATACCATTCATGAAGTGTCTGGATTCACTTCTTTCTCCATAATTTCAGACAGCTGATCCTACTCTTTTTTTTTTTTTACTAATTGAACCTACAAAGTCAGGGTTCTATATCAACCCATTAGTACACAGAGTGTATACTAAGTACACGCTAGACTCTCATTGGTCCTGTTCTCCAGGAAGCTCACAATTGAATATGAAAGTTACCGAAACATTATAGAATTTGAAAACACTTGGCTGATCCTTGACTAATTCATGACTCCTTTGAGATGACTTTAGACATATGTGTCTGTTATATTGAGCAAACCCCTCTTTGAACTTAAAGGGTTTAATTTTCTTTATAGTTATACTCTTAAGACTCAGACACCAACTGCAAGGTCTCAGACTGGTCCTGAAATTAGAGAAATTTC